TATTGCCCCCACAGTCTGAGTCCTCATTTCACCCACCTCGGAAGGATGGAAGGCTGAGTCAACCCTGAGCCGGTGAGATTTGAACAGCCAAACTGCAGCTAACAGTCAGCTGAAGTGGCCTGCAGTACTGCACCCTAACCACTGCGCCACCTCGGTTGGGAAAGTGGAACCCAGAGAACTTCTAGGAGGGTGAATTGAATCTGATTCTCCCCAGCCAGCACCTTCACCATCCCACCCCCATTCCACCTGTCCTCTAGATCAGGGGTCTCCAACTCCCAGTCGGTGAACCGGCACTGGGTTGCGGCGTGCCAGAAACCAAGCCATGTAAACAAGCGAAGCCCCATCCATGGGATGCAGGCGGGATGTAAAACCACGCCTCCTCTGGGACCGCGGAAAAACCTTTCTCCATGGAACCAGTCCCTGGTGCCCCAAAAGGTTGGGGGGGGCACTCCTCTAGATTTCATTTTCATGTTGACATCCACAACAGCAATCGCACTTTGACTTTTATACCGCTTCATAGTGCTTTTACAGCCTTCTCTAAGCGGTTTACAGAGTCAGTCTATTTGCCCCCAACAATCTGGGTCCTCGTTTGACCAACGTCGGAAGGATGGAAGGCTGAGTCAACCTTGAGCCTGGTGAGATTCGAACTGCCAAATTGCTGGCAGACAGCAGACCTGCAGTACTGCATTCTAACCACTGCCCCAACAACATCTTCTTGCCACATGGTTTGATGGAAGACTGCTTTTAATGTATGGCCCCTATAGGTTTCAGTGGGAGAACTCAAAGCCAAGCCAAAGAACAAGTCGTTTCGAGAGGTAACAAGGCTTTTGGATCACATCAATGAAAGAAAACGGTGGAGATGAAGCAAGCTTTCTATAGATTTAAACTCGGCCAAATTCTTGGTCTCTTAATTCATTCCGTTGGATCTTTCCCGTTTGGGATTTCGGTAGCTGCTGGACAAATTCCACCTATTGAAGACAGAAACATGCAAAATGAGGGCCATGTAGGGTAGATCCCATTGAGGTTGTCTTCGCAACCTTGATTACTAATCAGTGACGAATACTCTGGAATCCATTGTTTTTTCAACTCAAGTCCTCTTTAAACCGATTGGAAAGTCACTACGAAAGATTTCGATTGCTAAAAGGAGGCGATCCAGTTTTCCGGAGAGATTTGTTCTCCTACAGTTTCATTGTTAACATAATTCCGACTAACTTTGAATGTTGGTGAAGGGGAATACCACAAGTGCAAAGGGAAGGTTAGCCCAGATGCCTACAGGGTCAACATGCTTACAGTGTGGCTCGGCAGGAGCCATTGAAGCTGCCACCAGACTCCGACAGCGAGGGGGGTCTTATGAGTCAGCCCTGGAAGAGGCGGAGGACCCTGGACAGGGTTCCGACTCCGAGCAGGGCACAGAGAGACTAGTTGGTCACCAGGTGACACCTGAGCCTTGGATCAGTGGGGAGGAGACAAGAGAGAATGACACAGAAACTACCTGTGAGTTGTTCCGGGATGCACGCAGGCGAAGGGCTACTCGGCGTAAAGAACAACTAAGTAATTACAGGAGGTAATTACGCTCAGCTGATGGTCATTAAGTTCCTCTCCTGATTATAAAAGAGACTGCTTGGGCCACGCCCTTCTTGCAGAAGTCAAAGTTCACAAATCAAGAGAAACCAACTTGGATAAGTGGTTTGCTGTGAGAAGCCTGTTTGCAGTGCTGCGTAGGTTTATAGGACTTTTTGCCAGAGCGATTGGCTATTTGTTTATTTTGGGCTTGCAGCCAACAAGAGTCTGGACGAGGAGGAGGATGAAGAGGAGGAGG